GGTACAGTGACGTAAAAGGAAAATAGTCCCCATTAAAATTAGATGTAACTTTATTTGCCCAGGAGAGATGGAAGTATATGTCCTGATTGGGGGAGGGTATAGCTCAAGTGGTAGAGTGCATGCTTAGCATGCATGAGGTCCTGGGTTCAATCCCAGTACTGCCTCTAAACATAAATAAACCTAACCCCACCCCCAATGCATGCATGCATGCATACATACATACATACATACATACATGCCATATGTCCTGATGGACACTTGCACACAAATGTTCATACCAGCTTTATTTGAAAGAGTCAAAGGCTGGAAACAAACCAAATGGCCATCAATGGGTAAAAGAATAAATAAATCGCGGTATATCATACATGGGCTACTACTCCGTAATAAAGAGAAATGAACACTTGATGCATGTGACAGCATAGATGTCAGAATAATCCTGCTGACAGAAAGAAACCAGACAAAATAGATCCCGTATGGTTCCGTGTACATAACATTTCTGATGATGCAATCTAATCCGTAAGACAGCAAATCGGTGGTGCTTGGAGATGGAGCGGGAAGGACAGATGACAGGGGCATTGGAGGAGGCTGACTGGTATGTTCATTATCTTGATGGTGGTGATGGCTTCACAGAAGTATGTCAAAACTTACTAAATTGATTGCTTAAAATATGTACAGATGATTGTCAATGATCAATTCTACTTTAATAAATCTGTAAAAACTTTTTGAAAGTTAGGTGTGAGACAAGCATGCTGACCTTCCTACTACCCTAGCCAATGCATTGAGATAAGAAAAGAGAGATAAGGATCGATATTCTGAAAGTCAATCGTTTTGAATACAGTGACAATAATGACTTAGAACATATAATAGAAAAGATGAAAGATACCATATTATTTTTTCTTACTTTAGTGAATGATGTCTAGAAATGACTAACAAAAGACGAACAAGAACTTTATTAGAGAAAATGATAGGACATTCCTGAAAGATGTAAAGGAAGACCTGAATCAAGGGTGAGAAATACCATGCTCATGGTGGGAAATTTCAATATCATGAAAAAGACAAGTTTTTTTTTCCCCTAAATTAATTTGTAAATTGAATTCTATAGTGTTTTCATGGCATTTGACAAACTAATCACAAAATTACTATGGAACAGTTAAGGATCAAAAAAGGAACCTTGAGCTCCAACTTTGAATGGATTTTGTGACTATGTGCTTGTCTATTTATGTTTGAGGAGCAGAGATTCAGCTTCGAAGGAAAGAACTAAAAATCTCTGCCTCCATGGAGCCTGTGTTCCAGTGGGGGAGACAGACAGTAAACACGGAAAATAGATACTGTGTTACTTTATTATTCTGTTTGTATAATGTTCAAAAACAGGCAAAGCTAAGCTATGGTGGTAGAAGTTAGGGTGCTGCTTGCCCTTGGAGGTGCACAATGTTTAGAGTGGTAATGACCAGAGCCGGCAAGAAGGGGACTTCTGTATATCTGTATTTTTTATTGAAGTATAGTCAGTTTACAATGTTGTGTCAATTTCTGGTGTACAGCATAATGCTTCCGTCACACATGAACATATATTCGTTTTCATATTCTTTTTCACCATACGAAGGGAACTTCTGGAGTGCTGGTATCATCTTGTTTCTTGGTGAGGATGCCAGTTATGTGGGTGTGTTCACTCCATGAAAATTTATTGAACTATCATACACCCATATGTTTTGTGCACTTCTCCGTATAATGGTTACCCTTTGGTGAACAGTTTACCAAGGGGGATGGGAGGATAGCTCAGTGGTAGAGAGCATGCTTAGCTTGCACAAGGTCCTGGGTTCAAACCCCAGCACCTCCATCAAAAAAGTTTACTAAAAATAAAATATATTAGATGGTGATATGTGCTATGGAGAAAAATAATGTAGGAACAGGGGAGGGGGAGTATTGAGGGGTAGAGTGGGGATTGTAGTTTTAGAAAGAGATGCATAGGGATGTTCCTACTGAGAAATTGATTATTGCGTGGAGGACTTGGAGGACATGAGAGAGTGAGCTATGCAGGTATTTGAGAGACTGTGTCTTGTACGATATGAATACTCAGTGTAAAGCAGTAACCAAGGCTCCGTGTCAGCCTGTGTGTAGACAAACAGATCCTTGGGATAGAACAGAGAACCGTGAGGTAGAACCAAATATAATGACAAAAAGCCACTTCTAGACAATGGTGAAGGAATGGACTGTCCAATAAATAGTGAAGGGAAAACTGGCTTCTCAATGGAAGAAAAACAAAAACTTATTTTCCTATTTCTTGGCATAGGGTTCCTTGTGTTTTTAATCATGTGAAATCTCTACCTCTAGTTCTGTTCCCTTGTTGACCTCTAATATTTGTGGCTTTCTCTTATTCTTTTTCAGTCTTGCCAGTAGTTTATTTATTTAATTAGGAACCAATTTTTAGTTTCCTTAATCGCCTCTGGTATTATGTTTGTTCTTGATTTCATTTAATTTTGGCTCATATTTTCATTTTTTCTCCATTTTTGAGTTTTAGTCCACTCTTAATTTCCCAACATTTTCAGTTAAGTACTTGGGTCATTATTTTCTACCTTTAAAAAGAATAAGCATTTTAAAACCTATAATTTCCCTTGAAGAACTGCCTTCACTGTATCTTTTTTATTTTAATGTGTAACTTTTTTATCCTTCATTTCTAAGGATTCTTAAATTTCCATTGTTCTTTTACCCAGTAATTTAGAAATACGCCTCTAAATTTCTTGCATGGGGATTTTTAAAGTTACCCTTTTGTTAACTGATGTCTAGTTTATTTGTGCTGTGAACACAAGAAAGAATATAGACTATGATACCAATTTGAAAACTGTTGAGACTTGATTTATGTCTTTATAGGTAGTAAATTTTTAGTGGCTATCAGTCTGTCATAGTCTATATATGCTTAAGAATATGTGTTCCCTTCCTGAGTGCATGTTTCTATATATTTCTGCTAGTTAAGTTTAATTGTGTCGTTCCAATGTTTTCTGTCTGCTCAACCTGCCAATAGTTGAGATAATGTTTAGTTAATACGTCATGTTACCATGGTGGACACTGTCAGTTTCTTCTGTAGTTCTATTGTCTATTTTTGTTTTCTTCATAGATTTTGAGGTGACTCTAATAGAGGCGTATGATTTTAGAATTGACTTTGTGATGAAATAAATATTTTAATCATTGTTTGATGAACCTACTATCCCAAATAGTGCTTTTTCTTGGTATTAGTTTGTTTTGTCTGATATTAATATAGATACCCCAGTATTTTGTCCTGTATCTGCCTGGTATATCTCCTTCAGATCTCGTTCTATTAGCCTTTCTGGGCCCTTACGTTTTAGGTGGTTTCTTTTGAACAGAATATAGATGCATATTGTTTTTTAATCCAGTCTGATATTATCAATCTATTTACTGGTGAGTGAGGACAATTTATCCTTCTTGTGACTATTGATATATTTACACTTTTACCAGTTTACTTTGTGCTGTTTATTTTTATCTGCTTTTTCCCCCTCCTTTTTTGCTCTTTTTTCAAAATTGAAGTACAGTTGGTCTGTGCGATAGTATGTTAGTTTTTTATCGATTATGAGTTTAGTTTGTTATTGTCACATTTTTCTCCGTCTACTGACTTGGAACGTATGCAGCTTACATCTTTCCTTCTCATGGTTTCCCGTGAGATTTTATACGTGTGCACTTAGTCTAAAGTTAATAAAAAGCTTATCCTTACTCCCTGAAGATACACGGAACCTCAGAACATGAATTCTCATCCCCTTCCACACTTAAGCGCTGTTGTTTAACATTTATTTCTTTCCTTTATTTTTTGTACCTTTATTTTTATGAAATTATTTATGTATTCTTACACACCTCCTTCCACCCTGATTTTCTTCTGAGTTAAGTCAATAATTCAACTTTTTTTTTTTAATTTGCAGGGGGGAGGTAATTAGGTTTATTTATTTAGTTAGTTTTCGATCGAGGTACTGGGGATTGAACTCAGGACCTCCTGAATGCTAAGCCTCCACTCTACCTCTTCAGCTATACCCTCCCCCGAGAGCATGCAGTTTTGGTATTTCCATTGAATTTTCACACTAGACAGTCATGTTTCATCTTTCTTTAATCTAACAATAAAAATAATTTCAGTAGATAAACTTTTGAGAACCCCCAAATAAGTTCTATCTGGTTGTATTCAGGGCTATTTAGCTTAAAATGCTATAGCAAAAGTCATCAAAAAAAATTAAAAAGGGATAAATAAAGCAAATATGACAAAATAACTCTTGAATCTGAGGGATGATTATATGTTGTTGTTGAACTGTGGTTTCTATTTTTGTGGATATTTGAAAACTTGTATTTTAAAACTACATCTAAAAAGAATGTCCTCTGGAGGGGTTATGTGCTATTGGTCACATGAGTCCCCTGGGGAGGGGTGGGGGCTCAGGTGCTTCTGCCTGTGATTGTGTCTTAATGCATGTATTTCTGTATTCTCAGTTCAAAGCCATTTGCTAGGTTTTACTTTTATTTATTTGTTTATTTATTTATTTTAATGGAGGTTCTGGGGATTGAACTCACGACCTTGTGCATGCTAGGCACATGCCCTACCACTGAGCTATACCCTTCCCCTTCTAGGTTTTAACTGTGGGTAAAATAACAAGTTTGCTCCGAGTAGAGGAGGAAATCGAGAAAATGTTGGGGTGTTTTTTTTTTTTTTTTGCCTTTGTAGATCATGTTGCTTTACGTGACCCCCACACCGGCTCTGTGATGATCAGAACAATGACTGATGTCTTTAAACAGTATGGAAATAAGTGGCACATCGCTGACTTCTTCACCAAGGTAAGTAAATTCCAACGAACATGTGGTCCATTCAGTCTAAAGCTAATGCATTTGATGAGAACATGATTTCACATGTTCCTGTAATAACCCTTTTTTTCCCCTACCCCTGTGTTACTTCTCTCTGCTTCCCAATATTTTGTTCTCTGTATCTGTAAGTCTGCTTCTTTTTCATTTTATTCACCAGTTGTATTTTTTAGATTCGATATATAAGTGATATCATTACAATAATCATCTTTCTCTGCCTGACTTATTTCACTTAGCATAACATCCTCCAAGTCCATCCACGTTGCTGCAAATGGCAAATTTTCATTCTTTTTAATGGCTGAGTAATATTCCATTGCACATAAATACCACATCTTCTTTATCTATTCATCAGTCGATGGACATTTAGGTTGCTTCCACACCTTGGTAATTGTAAATAGTGAACATTGGGGTGCATGTATCTTTTCAAATTAGTGTTTTTGTTTTTTATGGATATATACCCAGGAGTAGAATTGCTTGGTGATATGGTATGAACACTGTTCATTTTCCAAGCACTTGCTGCATAAACACTAGCAAGAAAGTCCCAAGATGGGCATGATGTGACCTTTGCATTAAAGGCATTTGTAGCTTAGTGAGGTAGCAGATGATAGTTGAGCTTACAGCCAACCCGGAAATTGTAGAGCTGTTCAGTACTTTGGACATAACATAATCCCACCCTTTCATTTTGCCATGATTTACCAATGTTCAGAGAAGGTTAATATCTTGCCTGGTACTACCCAGGGGCGAGCTGAGACTCAGACCTGTGCACTTTCCATGCTGCCTTCCAGGCAGTCGGTGGGACATGGGTGATGCTTGCATTGTTTTCCTGGTGCAGCCAGAATAATTCTGCCACCTCCTTCTGTGGGGTTTACTCAGAGGCTTTTGCAGAGGGTTTTCCATTCTTTTGGACAGTTTGTGCTTTTCTCTTACAGGTGAACAACAGAGTGGTTCACCAGGAATTTAATCTACGTCGCGAACCAGTAAAAGTGTCACTTGTAATGGAATCAACTTTAACTAAATTTGTATACTTTTGACATCAAAAAGAATTTAAACATAAGGCCTGCTTTACAATAGACTCTGTAAAGAGCCATGAGCATTTGTAGCATTGTACTAATGGTTACCATTTGGCATTATTCTTGTCACTAGTATCTCTCCAATTTGTTTTGTATATGTATATATTATTTTTCTAAGATTTCACTGCTTCTTTGATACTTGTAAATAATTTGACTTTTTTTTTTAAATCACTGTTTTCTGAAAAAAGGACTTTTTCCTGAACCGTTATTCAAACAGGGACGTGCAGGTCCATTTGTGTACTGTTTTTATCACGTGTTTCTCTTGCTGATGACACCCCGTCCTCTCCATACTCAGTTTGGTGCTGGGGTTAAGCCTCGTTTTCCTGGCTTAGTCAAGAATTGCCTTTGGTCTTGTCCTCTGTTTCACCTTCTTTCCCCAGATTGCTGTCTGCTGCTGGTCTGATCTCCTCTGACTCTGTAAACAATTCTCAGGTCTTACCTGGAGGCCTCTGTGCCCTGGATGCCTTCATGTTGTTACCTTCTGCCCATTTCTGAGCTGCCTCCTTGCTGCTTCATACCTTCCAACTGCTGTTTTCTCTTCTGGAACCCCTTGTTCTGCCCCACCTAGGTAAGTCCTTTCTGTCCTTCAGAGTTTGGGTCAAGCATCACTTGTACAGGGAAGCTTTCCATAACCCCTCATGCTAGGGCGGCCCTTTTTGAGTGCCCCGAGACCCTCTGCTCCCCTTCTGTGCACTGGAAGGACTGTAGTGGCTGTTAAATTTCTCTCTCCAGTTCAGTCCATGTGTCTCAATCATTGCTGTATCCTAGCTTCCATCCATGCCTTTGGGCACAGAGAAGCCATGCGATGAATGTTTGGTGAATGACTGGTCCCTGCCTTTTCATCATCTTCTCCATCCTCAGACTTGGCCTCATCACTTCTGCCACCTGCTACTCATCCACACATACTCATGGCCGGTTGAACTCAACAAGCTGAAAATTAACTTAAGTTTCCCCTAAATCTCTTCATAAAACCCATCCCATTGTTAATAATCCTTTCACTCCCCACTGTCTGCAGGGAAGTCCCCTAGGAGAATAGTCCTAGTCTTTCTCGGCCAGGCTTAGTCTACACTGCCAGCGTACTGCCTATTTGTCCTAGGCCTTGGCCACACCAGATAATTCGCCCTTCCCTTACTAATCATCTCTCGCAGAATTGGGCTTGTGGATTAATGAATGTGAATGAACACTCTTGGATATGTTACCATATCATAGTTCCCACCCCTTTCTCCTGAAAGGCCCTTCATTCTCCCTGAATGCTTTCTCTATATCGTGCATTCTTCAGGGTGTAACCTGGGTCCCATCCCACTGTAAAGAAAACCTGTATGTAAACTGGTATTTTTAGACTAACAGACTGTGGACTGAGTATGAATTTTAACTGTAACTGTGTTCTAACTTTTGGTGTAACTCTGGGCTGTGTTTGGACCTCGGTTTCCTCATTTGTATAAAAGGAAATTTGGCTTAGCAACTCTGAGAACTCATCCCACTGGACTTCAGTGACCTTTGACTTCTTAGGGAACTCGCTCCTGAACAGCTGCAGATGTGGCTGTTCCTGGACCTGGGGGTTCAAGATGGCAGTTACATAAGACTGTTGGGCCTGCATGAGGATGCAGGTGTTTGGTGGGATTGCTCTGAAGATTGAAAGCTAAACTGACTGAAGCAATCTGGATTCTCCAGGCCTGTCTTCATTTCAGGGATTAATTGTGTTCTTTTTAGTTAATATGATTTATTAAGTATAAATACATGTGATTTAATTTTTAAGCTTTTGAGTTCTGATATTTGATCTGCAGCTTTGGTTTTGTCTAGAGCATTAAAATGTCTGTGGTTCAGAAAACATGAACATCAGGTCAGGCTTCTCTTTTCACTTGGATCCTAGAGGATTTCCAGACACAGAGGCTCGTTTCAGGGGGAACAGCAAAAGGTACAACAGCAACAGTTTTCATTTCCTGGGAGAGGTTACGTGACTTGTTCAGTCACAGCTGGCATGTGGTGAAGCTGAAATTCCAATTCATGAACTAATAACACAAGACACAAAGTGCCAAGTGACAGAGAGAAGTTTTAAGACAAAATGCTTTTGATGGATGGAAGGAACCACTTGCCTGGTGGAATGAGGGCTTCGGGACAAAGGAGGGGAAAGTGATTTCGGAACCCTGCTCAGGCCACTACAGGTAAGGGTGGTGGAGAGAACTGTAGGACAACTGGGTACCAGACAAATAGATGAAGAGGAGCAAGGAGGAATTCTGGTTAGAAAGACCCAAAATGAACTTGATGACTGGAGCCAGCCAGGTGCCCCCACATTCTCTCAGCTTCAAATCAGAACAGAGACTCTCCTGGTCATCCAGTGCCATGTGAAGTAGAGACCCCCAAAACTAGTCCCTAGCACAATTTTATATTTGGAAAAAAAAAAACTGTTTAAACCCATTTTTTTTAAATACAGATTCCAGAAACCAAAGTTTGCAAAAGAAAGGCCCCAAGATTTTTATTTAAAATGTGCATGAATAAAAAATAGTTGAGAAACTTGTGCAGAGGACCAGGAGGCTGAGAGGTGGGGAGGTGGGCTCCTGGCTGGAGAGCCGCAGCCATTCTCTGACAAGCGCCTCCGAGGCCAAGGGCTCCTCACCGTGGTTTAGTTAACACTATAGTATGTTTTCATCTTTGGATGTTTCTCAACTCATTTCCTTGCCACAAGTTTTCATCATACAGATCAGTTTTCAAGGACAGAGTTGTTTTGTGGGGGAAAATACTATTTTGCAGAGAAACAAAACCTAAACAGTACAACTTTCTAGTTCTTATACTGCAAGTATTCTTGAGATTCTATGGTGCACAGGGGAGGGGGCTGCTGCTGAAATAGTTTGGAAGTGTCCCAGAGGGCCTTCCAGAGATGTCCTACAGTGACTGAAAACTGCCCCTAAAAGCCAGCCATATAGCTATTTTGTCTTCCTTTTTTTTTTTTTTAGAGTCAAAATGTCTACAGATATTTCATCAGTTTCTAAGGACGCTTAAAGCCATGACCAAGTTTACTCCTTTCTTTGTATGTCAGCTCTTTACTTAAATGCAGTGGGGTTTGCTTTGTTTCAATTTAAAAACCTCTGTTCCACACAATTTCAAAAAATACAAAAAAGAGGCCAAAAACCTACTGTTTCTCTACTTGTGTATCTGTGGTTCTCACCCTGGCTGCACGCTAAAATTAGCCAGATTTTTTTTTTTGGTTTGGAGTTGGGCATGTTTAAAAGCTCTCCAAGTCATTCTAAGTGCGGTCAGGTTTGAAGCCTACCTTGTAACTGATAATCTGCCTATTGGTTATTTTTTTTACAATCATCAAGCGCCTAGGGATTCAAAACAATAGCCTTCATCCTGCAACTCCCTCTTGTACCATAGAATATATTTTAATTATTTTTTAATGGCTGTATGGTATTATGTTGGGCAGGATAAATATTAACTAATCTAATGGATCTTGCCATTTTTCCATGAGAAAATTTTCATGCATACCGCCCGTGCAGTCTTGTCTTCCGCCCCCCCCCCGCCCCCGGGAAACTTATGATAACTTTTTAAAAATCTAAATTACACAGTACTACTTCTCGCCAAAATATAATTTCTTCAGCTTTTGTTGATCCAGCACAGGCTTGTGTTCAAAACCCCTTCCCACGTAAGGAAACTGCAGCCTGGGTTAGCGACTCGCTCGAGTTCCTATGTACAAAAGGCTGGATAGGAGCTCGAATCCCAACTACCTGGCTGGCTTCAAACCCGCGCGCCTGACTGGAGTGGTAGTCGGGGCGGAGGCCAAGCGCAGACCGCTTCTGCAGCACGAGAAAGCAAACTGCGTTCACCGCTCCGCCCGCCCCCGACCGCCATTCCCCAGCGCCCGCGCAGGCGCCGCAGACCGCCTTCCGGAGGAAGGCCTGCCCCCTCGAAGCCCGCCTCTCCCGCGTTTCCGCTCGGCGTTCGTTGTCATTGGCTGGCGGCGGACTTTATAAGGACGTCATTTCCGCCCGTCAGTCTTTTCCGCGCTACCCACAGAGGGGTCCATACGGCGTTGTTCTGGGTGAGTGTTTTGGGGGTTCCAGCGGCCTCCAGGGCCACTAGAAGGAGCTTCCTGCTCAAACGAAGGGTGTGGGGACCTGGGGTGAAAGCTCGCAGGCCGCGTGCAACGGTCTCCGGCTCGGCACGCCTCCCCTCGGGTCTAGCGGCCTGCACGTGGCCGGGCTTGGGCCCGCGGGTTCCCGCAAGGCCCCGGAAGCGGGCGGAGATCGTGCTGGAGCCCCGGAGGCCCGGCCAGTGCTGCGAGCGGGTGGAGGGCAGGGGGCTCGGCCTGTGCGTCGCGCCGCAGTCGCTTCAGCCCTGACCCTCGGCAGTAAGCCGAGATGCCTAGGCTCTGATTGCCTCCAGCTGTTGGGGCTGGTTGGTTTTCTTCTTTAATGTTAATTTCGATAAGGAGTTAAGGTTCTTGGTAGGGTTTTGAGGAAAAGTAGTCGTGACTGTAGGGAGCATTAACGCCGAAACTCCCACCTTCGGTTTGCTTTAAATTTTGACATCATTCCTTCAGCTTTTGAATATTCTCGAACACGGCTTTCTCATTCACACCTAACTCCTGCTTACCTTGAGAAGTGTTAAGCCGCAGTTTACTGTTTTCGTTTACTTTCATTACCTGATTGTTCTGCCCATCTCCATGCCACTGTAGTAGGATTTGCTGCAATTTATAAAAGGTGGCGTATATCTGTTAATACTGTGTCTTAAGATTGTACTGGACTAAGCCCAGTACTTGGCGCTGTAGGTATAAATCGTGGTTGGATTTAAACATTAAGTTTTTTTGTGTTTGACTATTAAGAGTAGCTAGGATGTACCTGTTACCCTATCCCACTTGAGTCACTGGAGTAGAAAGAACTTGTAACTATTGTTTTTCAGGTTCCCATCGTAACTTAAAGGGAAACTTTCACAATGTCCGGAGCCCTTGATGTCCTGCAAATGAAGGAGGAGGATGTCCTGAAATTCCTTGCAGCAGGAACCCACTTAGGTGGCACCAACCTTGACTTCCAAATGGAGCAGTACATCTACAAAAGGAAAAGTGATGGTCAGTCACTGTTTAAGGTTTTTTCTTCTTTGTCCTTCCAGCTGTAAAGACAAATTTTGACTCTTATTTTGGTGGGTGGTACTGGGTGAGGTAATTTCTAAAATATCTGCCTTGCAGGGCTCTGTACTAAGTAACAGAAGAAACTAGATCCTTAGATTGGAAAGAAGCTTTAAACCTGAGTAGAAGGGCTCTGGTTATTTTGGAAAGGTTTCTGGGCTGCAGTGGAAGATTACTAGGTTATGAAACTTGGGTCGTGAAGTGTGGCATAGAGATGGTGAGGGAGTTGATTAGCTTAGTTCCTAATAACTCATCTCCCATAGTGCCTTACATTTCATAGGTAATGATACAAGTTTGTAAAAATGAATTCTGTGAGAAGAACAAAGCAAGAGATGAGACTAAACAATTGGGGTTGCTCAAAGGTATCAGAAGAGGGAAGGGAGGTTGTGACAGGAATATGGAAGGCATTAAGTTGGGTAAAGCAGCTCTTCAGCTTAGAGCCAGGACCACTGACGGGCTTAGGCCTGTGAGTGGCATGGTTGAAAGGAATTTGGGATGCATCTGACATCGAGGCGGGTGGTAAGAGGCCAGGAGATGGTAAGAGGTTTTAGGATTTCCCCTTGTGGGGCCTGAGGGAAGGGGATGAGGAGGCGAAGATGGACTGCCGAGTGAAGCAAAGCTGCACACTGTTAAAGCTCAGAGTGGAGGCCAGTCCTGGCCAGTGAACTTCTGGGTGTCGGAAGTGTGCTATAGTAACGGCAGGATTTTCGCTAACACCAGTAGAGCTTGCCTCTGTGACTGGAGTTGATAGTAATCGCTGCCACATACATTCAGCTTTTTAGAAGAATATCCATTTGCAAAGCTTGGTCAGGTGTTCAAAGCCTTGTGTCCTCACCTAGGTATCTACATCATAAATCTGAAGAGAACCTGGGAGAAGCTTCTGTTGGCAGCTCGGGCCATTGTTGCCATTGAAAACCCAGCTGATGTCAGTGTCATATCCTCCAGGAATACTGGCCAGGTTTGTGGAACAGTGTGCTTGGTTTTTATTACACGTGTTTTGGGATGTATTAGAAAAGCGTTAAGAAAAGAAGTCCCATAATTTCATTGTTAAGCCATTTAAAATTGGCCTGAGTCATAGGAATTGCTAAAATTAAACCATTTCAACATATTTGTCACTTGGCATTTGATAGTGGTGAGGTTTCTGTTTTTATGTTGTGAGTTTTTCTTGGTGCCACTAAATACTGAGACATGACCCTGTTAAAGTGGCTCACCACATTTTTCTGCAGTGAGTTTTTTAAATTTAAAATGATAAAATGCTAAGTTAAAACATGTCTACAAAGTTTTTGAGGAGGGTTATCTATGAGTAGGGTACCAGTCCTTGTCTCATTCAAGTCTCATAAGCAAGAGTAAGAATCTTTGCCAGCTTAAAGGAATGAAAAAGGCTTAATTTTTTTTCAATGACAAGTGAGGTAGAACTTTTCTCTTTTGTCTCCCATTTCTGTTTCGATAGTATTTTCTTCTTTTTTCTGTTGAAAACTGATGGGAATTTTTAAACTTGTTTTAAAGCTCTTAAAAGGATTTCATTTACCCCATTTCTAATTTTTAAAATGTTTGACTTGAATTTTGACAGATTTTTCACTTACGTAGTAAGATGGTCTTTTACTATTTTGTTGCTTAGGCCAACTGCTCCCATGAATTGCAGATGTGTTTTTACAGTGGGTTATTTCTCCAGAGGCTGGCTTGTGACTGGACCCCTCTGGTTTGATGCATGGTTGACAGTTCTTAATTACTGCTGTAGAGTGAACTTAGTGACCATTCTCACACATCACTCAGCAAAAATTTACTGAGTGTCTAGGTTGGTCCAGGCAGTGCTTGCTGAGTTCTTGGAATATAGCAGGAAAACTGAAGAGATGCAGGAAGTAAGCTTTATGTAGAGGAAAAAGTAAAGGAGAGTGAAGAAAGTGGGTGTGTACCTGCTCTGTATAGGTTAGCTGGGATGAAATTTTATCAGAGTACAAAAGTGCTCGCTGGTTGCCCGGCACCCGTGTATGTTGTACTGATTCATGCGATTTTTACAATCCTGTGAGGAACTTGCCCAAGTCACAAAGTGGCCTACTTGATAGTTTGAACCAGGCTAGTTGGCTCCGGATCCACCAGATGTGAGGAGGCCAGTGAGCCAGATGCCTGGGGGCGGGGGCAGAGTAGCCCAGGCAGAGGCCTGGGGCGCAGAGGGCCTGGGGCTGGGGCCGGGCTTGGCATGTTTTCTGGCTCTGGTTTTATAATTTTCCAGTTAATAAATGGAAGGCGTAGAATTACTGGATGTTTTAGGTGTTTGATTTCATGCTTGTTTTTGAGGAAGGGATTTTGGGGGGTTCTGACTACATAGGCTACTTCCTGTGGCACCGTCTCCTGAGGGCTGCTAACTCTTAATATTAATTGTAGCGAGCTGTGCTGAAGTTTGCTGCTGCCACTGGAGCCACGCCTATTGCTGGCCGCTTCACGCCTGGAACCTTCACTAACCAGATCCAGGCAGCTTTCCGGGAGCCGAGACTTCTGGTGGTTACTGATCCCAGAGCCGACCACCAGCCTCTCACCGAGGCATCTTACGTTAACCTGCCTACCATCGCCCTGTGTAACACGGACTCCCCTCTGCGCTACGTGGACATTGCCATCCCGTGCAACAACAAGGTAACGGTTTTATGATTTATACTAGAGCTCGAGAAGAGTGCTCTAGAAACGGCTGTTCCTCTGCATGCACATTGTTAGAGCTTGGGGTTGAGGCCACCGGTTGGCCAGTGAACTCACAGGTGTAGGTAGTGTGCTACACGAGGGGCAAGTTTCTCATGAACACCACGCGGGTCTCTGGCCCAATGAGTGGCGTTTGATAGTAATACTTGCTACAAGTCCCTTTTAATGTATGAGAGGTGAAAATTTTAAATGTTTTATTCTGTATTTCTTTCTCTGTCCGGGTCTCTCGGGGCATTACTTGGCCTTTCTGTTTTCAGACCAACTTGATGGATCTTGTTCTGAGATCCTAAAAAGGTGGGTCGCGTATGGTTCACATTGGTCCAGTTTGTCACTGGTTTCAGAACCCTGATTCCATAAAAGAATCAGGCAGAGGTTTTTTTTGTTTGTTTTTTAGCTCTACCAGTGTTGAAGCACTGACTCCAGGTAATTTATTTCATTGCCTAGAGTGGAATTCTGATTAATCTTCATGATTCCAAGTGGCAATCAAGGTTGAGAATCACTGGTTTAAAGTGTAAGCTTGGTGTAAAAATAAAAACTGTCGAATGAAGAGCCATATCTGTTCTCATGGTGCCAGGGGACCTAGATGATGTGGGGATAGATTAGGTGGAATAGAGAGGTGCTCACTGGGGTTGGCTGGGTGTCACTTTATATCACAGTCTGGCACTTTTAAATATATTTTTTTATTGAAGTATATAATCAGTTTATCATGTTGTCAATTTCTGGTGTACAGCATAATGCTTCAGTCATACGTGTATATACATACATTCGTTTTCATACTCTTTCACCGTAAGTTATTACAAGACACTGAATATAGTTTCCTGTGCTATACAGTATGCATTTGTCTATTTTATATATAGCAGTATCTGTAAATCTTGAACTCCTGGCTTATCCCTGCCCCCCTCCTTTCCCCTTTGATAACCATAAGCTTGTTTTCTATGTCTGAGCCTTTCTGTTTTATAAATAAGTAAGTTCGTCTTTTTGTTTTAAGATTCCACATGTGATTTCATGTATTTTTCTTTCTCTTTCTGGATTCATTTAGAATGACAATCTCCAGGTCCATCCATGTTGATGCAAATGGCATTGTATTCTTTTTAAGGCTGAATAAATACTCCATTGTATAAATATACCACAGCTTCCTTACCCAGTCATCTGCGGATGGACATTTACAACCTGTCACTTTTGCAGGGAGCTCACTCAGTGGGTCTGATGTGGTGGATGCTCGCCCGGGAGGTTTTGCGCATGCGCGGCACCATCTCCCGGGAGCACCCGTGGGAGGTCATGCCTGATCTCTACTTCTACAGAGATCCTGAAGAGGTAAGCTTCCTCCACAAAGGCTTGTGGTCACGTAGCAATTGGACTTGATAGTCTGCTTCTTCTAAGTATTTGTTGGGCTCTATAAACTAAAAAATCTTTTCTAAACCAGATTGAAAAGGAAGAGCAGGCTGCAGCTGAAAAGGCCGTGACCAAGGAGGAATTTCAGGGTGAATGGACAGCTCCCGCTCCCGAGTTCACTGCTACTCAGCCTGAGGTGGCGGACTGGTCCGAAGGCGTGCAGGTGCCCTCTGTGCCCATTCAGCAGTTCCCTACTGGTACGTGCCGCAAGCCAAGTGTGTCAGGCTGGTGGTTAGAACTTCTCTTTTTAATCCAGCTTGGAGCATCTCCGTGGCTGCACACACACACAGCCTTAAAAGGTTTTCATCCCGCTGTGCTGTAGCTGTGCTAATACTTGAGAGGGTGGTTTCAGGTGCTTTTCAAATGATCCGTTCTTAGTCGTGATTCTTTGAACTGTGTACCTGCTGGAACACAAGGCAGATTGTTGGTGGGGTGACAAATGCTACGGGGATGGGGCTGATGGCTTTTTTTGTATTTTCCTAACAGAAGACTGGAGCGCTCAGCCCGCCACTGAAGACTGGTCTGCAGCTCCCACTGCTCAGGCCACCGAATGGGTTGCAACCACCACGGAGTGGTCGTAAGCTGTTCTTTCCACAAACTCTTAAAACGGAAATAGGTTGACGGAAAATAAAGTTTCTACAAATTGTGTCCATTTATTTCAGCTTTTTACTATTACAGTTTTTTATTTCAGATCAAGATGGCCTGCAATTACTTTTAAAGGCTCTTAACATCAGTTTCACTTTTAAAGCCCGCTGTAGGTAAAAAAGTACATTACTTTCCACTTGGAGGTTTTCCTGAGGCTCCTTTTTGTATTTGTTACAGTCTGCTTTGCTAAACTCTGTAGAGGCCAGATTTTTAAAGTAAGTTGATCTTCAGTGACAGCGCTGCTAATTTACTAGTTGTGTGGCCAACGTGGGAAGTGACATCAGGTGTCCAAGCTCTCCTTTGGGCAAAGATAGGATACGTCTTTCCTATTCTAGAACCACTGAAGGGGCCACACCTTTCCCAGCCTGGAGAGACATCGTCTACCAACAGGTAAGCCTGCCTGCTTACAGATTCTGGGAAAGGGCTGTATGGGTGCACACAAGTCTCATGTGATAAAGTGTTACCCGTATTTACCTTTTTCTTTGCATTTCAATTCTGCTAATAATGCTAGTGGCTCCTTCCTGGACAAATTTTATGACACTTCGCCTATTGAAAACCACCGTCTTAGATGAGTGAGTGGATCCAGGTTTTGAGGAGCCAGGATGAATTTAAATTGATTCATTGTCCCCTTGAAAAATGTACAAAAAATTGTCCATGTGACCAGATTCCCAGAGCCCCTTGCAGTGGTGCTGAGGCAGTGGAGGCGGGGGCCCCTCCCCCCTCAGCTCTCAAAGCAGCGTTAGCTTAAGAGAAACTGCCACTGTGTTTAGGAGCAAGTTTGAATGTGCCACATACCTGTAAAGCTCTGTGTGTAGGACCTGACCGCATGCTGTCCGGGTGCTGAGTGGTCCGCACCCCTTGCGGTAATTTCTGGTGGCTGAGGAGGGAGACAAAGCATTTGTTAGCATGCTCTGGGTTGGAGGAGGCTGTATGGGGAGCGAGGAATAGAGAAACGTTTCTGGCAATTTCTCTGTGTTGTGGCATCACAGGTGGATTCCCCAGCCCCCCCAGTTCCCACACCTCAAACTCCACCCTCAAATCGTGTGTCTAGTGCCATCTCCAACCAGAGATCATCCTGCCCCTTGCTCTGGCACCAGCTTCCGCCATTGATCCGTCTGTCTCAGCCTTTTTTCTAGAATCTAAGTTCCTAAGAGTTGTCCTCTCCTGGCAACTTTGGTTTATAGTGAGCATGTGGAAGCCAGGAGATCCCAGGACTAGGAATTTAACGAGGAATTTCTAGTGGATTCACTCCCTACTCACCTGATTTTAGGACCAGGGCCTCGTAAGCTACATGGCCTCCCAGAGAAGACTCCATTCCTCATGTCAGCTGCTGATTGAGATTTTGCCCCAACTCAGGACCGCAAGATGGCCCAGACCTGGGGACCCGGCAGGTGCCCTGTGGCTGCGCTACCAAGCGCCCTTGGGCTGGCGCGAACCAGAATAGGCATCTTAAACTGGCCAGTCCAGACCTGGTTTTCTTTCTGGTTTGGTCCTGCTTACCTGATCTGACGGGCAGTCCGTAAACGCTGCTGAATCCAAGTGATGAATTAAATCTCCCACTTGAGGTGTTCACCCTGTAACCTGCCAGCAGCTACTTTCCTTCCTCCCTGGGTATCAGCAGCCGTTGGGGGTGGTGGGGAGAAGCCCTCTGTCCCTCCAACTGCACTGGGTTTGGCTGCAGTGCTCCTGGAGATAGCTCCTTTGTCCTACCTGATCTTGGAAACAGCCTGCTGTGAATACACGGCTTAAGTTTAAAATGAGATCTACCCTCTAGCTTAAGATTTCACTCATCTCCCAGCGTCCAGGGCTTTGTCTTCTAAGCTCATAGAAACAGTCCCATGCAGAACTTCGGAAAGTCTGCCTTTCTTCCCCTGCCTTCCTAAATACTTTACGTTCTCTTCCATGGGGTACATTTTTTAAATAGGTCCCAATGCAGGAGCAAATCAACAGATACCAGTTAAGTACTTTCTGAGTGAATAGAGGAAATGGTGAAGAATAAATCTTAAGAGATTTACTGAGCATGTAAGAAACAGCTGGAGAGGTAAGTTCCACTTGGCAAGCCTGAGGTTCCCAATGAGACTTGGGGTATCCACTCCTGCAAGGTGTTCAGGGCTCCCATTTTTAGGACCCTCCCTCAATAAAATTGTCTAATTTTCCCCCAAGAGGCTTTACACAGCTTTTGGTAAACTCCTAGATTCTCAAGCTATTTTAAGTTGTACCTTTAATGTTTAGGGATCTCGAAATTCATATTTTACACAACATGAATATCCAGCGGTAAATGTTACATTGCCATGGGGTTTCTGACCCTGCCTGAGCAATCCAGACCTTTGGGCAAGGCAGGAATGAGATTACTAAATACCATCCATGAAAAGCCTTCAAATCTACATGCCAGACACTAAGTATTTAGTAGAGCAGAGCCTGCTGCGCTCCACGTGCTAGTAAGTTCAGTGAGTCTCACTCAACGAACAACCCAAGGATTAGTCAATTATCTGCAAAGAATCTCAAGAATTAAAAATTCACGAAACATTTATCAGCACCAGACACTATTCTAAGCATGGGGGATAGAGCAGTGAATGAAGAAGAAGTTTGATCTGTGAGTTACATTTTCATCTGGAAGGCAATAACAAAGCTAAAGAATAAACCATTTTCTATAGGATCAAAAGTGAGAATGATGTATATCCAGAGGGAACTCTAATTCAAAAAGAGACATGCACACCAGTGTTCATATCATAGCATCATACAGAATGGCCAAGATGTGGAAACAACCCAAATGTCTATTGACAGATGACTGGATAAAGAAGCTGTGATATATTTATACAAAGGAATACTACTCAGCCATAGAATAAAAATGCCATTTGCAGCAACATGGATGGCCCTGGAGAATGTCATTCTAAGTGAAGTAAGCCAGAAAGAAAACGAAAAATACCATGTGATACAACGTATATGTGGAATCTTTAAAAAAAAACAAAACAAAAAAACAGGAACTTATTTACAAAACAGACAGACACATAGAAAACAAGGTTATGGGGGGGAGAGGTGGGAAGGGATAAACTGGGAGTTTGAACTCTGCAAATGTTAACCACTATATATAAAAATTGATTTTGAAAGACAAATTAGGGCACAGGGAACTATATTCAATACCTTGTAATAACCTTTAATGAAAAAATGATGGAAAATGAATATATGTGTGAATATGCATGACTGGGGACACTGCTGTACACCAGAAATTGACACACTGTAAACTGACTACTTTGGTTTTAAAAAGTTAAAAATTGAGGATGACAGAAATAAGGTTTGTCTAAGACAAGAACCACAGGCATCAGGCTATAGCAGAGAGACAAATGAAGGGACTCCCTGGGGAGAATCAAAAGAGCAAAGAAACCCCTCTGAAAGGCCCAGTCTTACCAAGTCGAGCTGGGAGAGGTCCTACCCTCAGGGATTGTATCGTGAGGGTAGGATGGGAGGTTATGGACTCTCCTGCCGCCCATGCTGTGTGACAGGTGTAGACTTCCACTGTCCAACCTGTGGAAAGCTCTTTTAAGGTTTTTTCCCTCTCCTTTACGTATTTCTGGAAATGGGTTGGGGACCAGAAAACAAAAATCTCTTAACTGTACAGACACCTACCCCAGTTCTGCCCCCTGCTGTACCCTCACTGAAAGACAGCAGGCCTGGGAGCCGTCCTCCATGTGTGGCCAGCACAGTTCACACCTGTGCCAAGAGCACAAGACACTGCCAGAAGTGCCCCTCACCGTGTCCCCACTGGAAGGCCCTCCGCCACCTCCTCAGTCACTAGTCTCTGCATTTCCTTCCACCCAATACTGTATCCCAACCCAAGGGATGTCTCCCATTTACAATTTTCAAGAGAAAGTTACAGCTTTCAGCACAGGAGAGGAGTCTTCCAGACCATCAGGACCACACAGAGGATTTCCTCACAGGATTCCAAGACTGAAGGAATGAATAAACAGGCTGGCTTGACATTTGTTTAAAAAATCCCTTTCGGAGGATTTTTTTTTTTTTTGGTGTGTATCACTTCATGTAGTAAACTGCTAAGTAATTTGTCTTTTTAAAACAATGTCTAATGATTAATAATCTACTTTTGCAATTTAGAAATGAAAAAATATGATCACCACAAGTTACAACACAATGGGAGTTTGGGAAACTAGAAAAATGTATGAAGGAATTACAGAGACAGGAAAGAGAAGTTAAAGTATACAGAGGGTGAAATGAGAAAGTCGAATGTCTAGTTGGGGTTCCAGGAGAAAAGGGGATGTGGGAAAGTTATGATCAAAGAGAAAAGTGAGAATTTTCTCAGCTTCTCATGAATCCACACATTCAGGGATGCCCATGGGAACCAAGTCAGATCATTTTTAAAAAAACCTATCCTTAGTTACACTGTTGAGGAATCATGGAAAAGCCAAACACAAAAGTGTCCTGGAAAGTAACCGAGGGGAAGCAGCAGCCTGCCTGACGGCCCATCACAGGACAGCAGGTAGACAACAGAACGAGGAAAAGAAACGTCAGCCCAGCTCTGTCATCCAAGACGTAGGACAGTACACTTCTCCAGAAAACAAAGAGTTTATAAGGAAAAATAAAAAGTGATGCCAGAAGGAAGCTGTGGCCAAGAGTGCTGGAGGTCCACCAACGTCCACGCTCCCTTCTCCAGTAACAGACCCTGACTTTTAGCTGGTGCAGGGTTGGAAGCTGGTGCCTCTCCTCACACAGTAGTGAGGTGCTCAGTCAGGTTTTGAGACCTGCATTACTTTGGAGAATAGACTGTAATTTGACCAAATCTGTGGCATTAGGGAAAAGGTGAGAGAGATGCAGAATGATGGGCTATACTGACAACTTTTTGTCTGCTGTGAACAAAATCCTATGAGAAACAAGAACTCCAGCTAAATCTAGGCAGCCCATAAGCAGAAACAGGAGAATCCAGGCACGCTCTGTCTCTGGCCCACGGCACGCTCAGCCACGCATTTCTGCACAAGGTCTAGTGGTCCTGAGCTACGCATCCGAAGAGGCAGACTCTGAAGGAGGGAACGTTTGCTCCTTGGAAAGACGGCACGCAGAAAGGGTCAGTGAAGGTAGGGTTAAAGGTGGTGTTTTCCATTACAAACCTACGACACAATCTGGCAAAATCAGATTATGGCTAGGCTTTGGAACAGGAACTCTTGTGCTGGTTGGTGGGAGTATAAATTGGCACAGTTTGGCATCATTTAGTAACATAAGCATGTGTAACACCCCTCTTGGGGGTAATACACCAAAGAAACCTGTGCACCTTTGCACTAGGATATGTGGACAAGAACGCTAATCAACAAACCTGAAATGGCCCGGGGTCCCTTTAGGGAACAGCTCACACGCTGATGTAGCTCGTATAACAGAGAGGCAGGCAGCCGTGAAAATGAGCGAAGCACAGCTACTTGCAACGACATGCATCAGTCTTATAAACGTAACTTTGTAAAACAAAAAAGCACTAACAAATTATTCCTAATCATGTGGTTCCATTCGTTAGAAGTTCAAAGGCAGGCAAAGGTGAGTTATATTTTTAGAGATGTATTCCTTGGTGTCAAGCAGTATAGAAATCAACAAAACATAAACTTATGGGCTAAAAACCAAGCAAAATAAAAGCATTCAACAAAATATACACAAAGAGCATAGCGGATATGTTGAAGATCTAAGTGTTTCAGTGTCTCTGCTAATAAGCGTTAGAATATAACCATTTCTCAATCCAGATGCTCACTGTACGACTTGAACTTGCCACCACCCCATGGGTGGAATCTATGTCCTCTCCCTTTTAACCTGAGTAGAACTTTGTGACTCTGTCAACTAACAAGGTACAGTGGAAGTGATGCCGTGATTTCCAAGCACAGAGCATGAAGGTGCCACGCCCTTCTGTCTGCATCCCTTGGGACACATGTTCTGGGAACTCAGCCGTCATCCAGCAGGGAAGCCCTCCCTCCAAGGCCCCGGACCAGCTGAGCTGCCAGCCGACAGCCAGCGGTAACTCACCAGCCAGGAGAGGGATCTGTGTTCAAAGCGGACTGTCCAGTCTCCATTAGAGCTGTCTCAGCAGATGCTGTGTGGAGCAGATGAAAGTCATTCCTGTCAAGCTCCTGTCAAGACAAAAATGTGCTTATTCGTGAGCAAAAGAAATGGCTGCTGTTGTTTTAAGCAACTGGGCTTCAGATGCTGGGAAAATTCTAGAGGCGATTTCACTAAAGTCAGAAACAAGACCTGGATGTCCACTATCACCACCACTTTGTATCAGAGCAAGGAGCTGATCAGGCAATGCAATTAGGCAAGAGTCATTACTTACACATCTAGAGCCCACCAACTTTTCCTTACAGAATTTACCATAAGCACTTCTCCACGTTATCGTAGCTGTGGTACCCACTATATATATCAACTATATAATAACACATTAAGTGGCTATAAAATAATTTATATATCCATTTTCTAATTTTTAATAGTTTATAAAAAATCTACATTTATAACCATAACTGTCACGAACATCCTGTGGTTAACTGGATCAAATAAGGGACATTTTAAGGATTGAAAACAGACTCATTAAGTGTTCTGGAACTGCATTTTTAGTAGCAACAAAAGAGACTGCAGTTTTCCATTTATCATCACCCACAGTAATGATTCATCTTTGTTAATCTGATTAATGAGAACTTTTGTTTCAGTGTTGTTTCTTTGCGTTTCAATTAGGTAAAGAGCAGTTGCTGACCTGCTTTGATTTGGACACCCAGAAAGAAGCTGCAAGCCTCGATGCTCCCAAGGGCATTTCTCCACGTCCTGGGAAGCGGGCCTGGGTGGCACTACCGTCCCCTCTGCCAGCAATCAGCTATACATTAGATGATCAGATAAAGAAAAGCAACTGCCTCCCAGGTTTGCTGCAAAAATTGAGAAAAATACACTCTGATACATTGTAATTTCACTATTCAGTAAAATTTACTGAAAACCACGTGCTCTGCACGGAGCTAGGAATGTGGGTGCCGACAGCACTCGAGATTCCCGCCCCCAAGAACTTACTCTGTAACTTGGAGACACGTAGTAAGGCGCTCATCATGCGAAGGTGCCAGAGAGACCTGTGCCACCTTTGTTCTCCTGTCAAAACAGTAGATTGATGAGGTAGATACAGAACTTGAGAAAAACGTCCTGTTTTATATTTCAAAGAATTTCAATATTTCACCTTATCCATGCCCACGGAGAGGTGACCATCTAAATTAAAATGGGAAAATAGAGGAATTTATGGCTTTACAACATTTAAATCCAGAACCCTAAACAGGGTACCTGCCAGGGCACTGTCGGCCACTCTGTTAACCACACAGGGGACAGAGACACTCTTCCCGGCAAAGGCTTCCTCGCCGGCCCTCTCCCAAACCCTGGTGAAGAGCTGTGCCTTCTCAACCGTCTGAGATCTGGTGCTTAGGGACCAGAACCTGACCCAGGGCGCTGAAAACATGGTTTCTCACCTATTAACCCTGCACAAGGGTTCCACCCGGGGATAGGTCAAAGTCCAGGAAAGACTGTGTCCCCTTTTGTGATGTGAGATTCACAAAGAATTCCTTTGAGCCCCCTGTATCTTGCCAGTGATCGGCAGGCAGAGGGGCTCAGTACTGCAGAGGGCTTCCTCCAGCTCAGGTGGGCACGCGGGGTGAGACACGCCATGGGGGAAATGAAGGTCTTTCTTAGAGCACTTCCCTGAGGCCAGGAAGGCCACACTGCATCACCAGCACAATTCCTGTTGTCTGCACAGACCCTGAATGACCCGACTCTTCAGCGTGAATTTTGTTGCTTTTTCTCATCTTTTTTTTAGATGCTTTCATTTTATTCTAACTTTCTAAAACCCAGGCTAGTACACTGTTTACTAAGGCACGGGCCCCGCCCACTTGCTACTGTGTAAGTGCCGTCCACTATTACTCACGTAGTGGGAACCATAAACCTAAGACTAAAAACTTTCAGCAGGTAAAGAGCTTCCAATTTAATTCTGTGCAAGGAGCCTGCTGCATATTATACACCTTCCAGATTAAAGCCTGCTTTTGTGAAACAACTCAGAGAAACTGAGTCCTTATTCTTGCCCCTGGGCGGTGGCTCGGCCACTTCGCCTGGGAGCGCCGCTTACTACCGTTCTCGGGCGACCCCGAAGCCTCTGGCTCAAGGGGCTCTGAAATACTGTTTTTAAGGGGGGACATCCTCCAGAGAGTGGGCTGACTCTCTGGTACGTCTTGAACATCTGCCACCAACGAAGTGAATAAACGCAAACTGCGTACTCACATTCAAGATGGAAAACGGGAACTGCCTCTGCTGGAGTGAAACCAAGTCACACATGACCTCTACGCTGGTTCCAAAGGAGGTTCCCTGGGAAGGGGTCCTAAACACGTTCTGAGCACCTCAAAGGCAATACTCCTGCGCACATTCGGTCTTTTATTTATTTATGTGTACTGTGGTATAGCTGACGTACGGTCAGTGTTGACTTTCAGGGTGAGTCACGGAACGTCACCCGTATTTCCGGAAGCTTAGTTAACAGACTGGACCTGCTTTTGTAATGGGCAGGCAGCCCCTATCAGACATGATCTCCCATGGAATACCACTAAAATCTCTGCAGAAAGTATTTTAAAAACTATTGCTGGAAGATGCTGGAGAGAAAACAAGAAGCACAGGTCCTGGAGGAGGGAGCCCTATAATAAAGAAGCCACTAGATGGTCTCCCAGTCTCCGCAGCTTCTGTCCTCAGGTCAAGCAGGGCAGCGAAAGCCCGGACAGAGTCCAGTGGGTCTCCTAACTCGGAGAACCAGAACCAGTTTGAGGCAACGGAACGAAAATCGCCTGTAAGCCCCCTGGCACACACTGGCTATCATCTCAAAGAACCGCGCTTCCCACGCCTGCCCTCCCGTGTGCAGACATGGGGAGGGCGCCGGAGACGCTCAAGGACAAAGGACCGAGCACAGGGGGCGGCGCGAGGCGGGCGCGCAGGAAGCTTTCCTTCCTCTCCCTCCTCCTCCAGGAACAGTAATAATACTCTCAGAATTCACATTCCACGTCCCCAGAGTCCTCTTTTGGTCCCTTCTCAGAACTCGGATCGTCTAATACAACTTAAAAAAAAAGGGCATCTGTCTGCGGATGATAGTCCCGTACACGTTACTGAGCAGAGAGCCTTCAAACACCAAAGAAACCTTAAGTCCAAGTCACTGCTGGGGGGGGGAGCGGGACAAAGTCGCTTTGGGGGCTCCTTACTATTCAGAGGAAAAAGGAACTTGTAACGACTGCAGGAACAGACAGCGCAAGCTTCTCCTTCCATCCACAAACAGGACTGGACCGGCAGGCTGAGGGGCGGTCCTGGGGCCCGGCCCCATCACAAGCAGACCGTCATGGTTCTGTCTTCCTTGTGTACTTTTATGCATGTCTGTTTTAACAGTGTGGGTTTCAGAAGCCGCCTGTCCCACCTCTGTGGTGGCTAATTCTTAGTGGGAAGGGCACAGCCCCACGGCGTCTGCCAAGGCCTTCGTCAGAGAAGCTCCTGGTGAAAGGGGACAAGTTTGGCTGATCTAAGCCTGATGTGGAGAAACCGTGCTCAGGAGTCGGGCTTGGGGGGTCAGGACGTCTCAGGGCCCTCACAGGCTCACATCACCAGCACTGGCTGCACCGTCAGCAAGGCCTGTCAAGCACTGGTGCTTGGCTGGGCCTGGGACGAGCCGGTGTTAGGTGAGGGTGGCGGTGGTCCCGGGCCCCCTTCTCTCTGAGGAACTCACTTCTAGAAGCGGGAGATAGCAAAGTATAGGTGATGAAACGGTTAATTCTATTCTCTCTAGGGCACATATCCTGGGCTCTTTTTCTCAGAAAAGCAGGCTCAGAAGCACTGCAAAGAGGGAATTACTGTCCAATTAATTTCCCCTCAGTTGACTCCTAAATGCAGTCAGAAGTGAAGACCACTTCCCAAGACCTCACACCTTGATTCCTCCTCCAGTTTCATTTTCAGTCTTCAGAAGTCCCTGGGCCAGGTGCATCGACCCGAGAGGAGGCTGGCCCTGTGAGCCAGCCCCCGCGGAGGGGCGGAGATGGGGCAGCTAGACTTCCCCAGCTCTCACCTGCACGTGCGGTACTGAGGACGTGCGCCACATCCTCCAAGGTTATCTTTTTAGGTCAACATCTGGATGGTGCCCTGGGGCTGGGGCAAGTGATGACAGCGCAGTAACTGTGGGTGAGAAAACTGTTAAAACGTGTCCAATGGGACAGAGGGACTTGTCAAACTGGAGAGTCATCCCGCCTTCCCCAAGACTCCTGACAACTCCCGGGACTCAGCACTGCCAAAGGTTCTCCAGGCAGTTCTGATGCAGGCGGTCCATGTAAAACTTTTTGGGAAACACTTCTTTAGAAACCCAAGTGGGGCTGCTCAAGGCTTGGTGTCCAGAGTGGCAGAGTCTGAATAAGGGGTGGGAGTGGAGAAAACAAGGGGATTTGATCTAGGGGTTTGAGATGTATATACATCAGCTATTGGTATATAATCTGCCTCAAATCAACAACACTTACTTAGCTCAAGATTCCCCTGGGCCAGTCTTATCTGCGCTAGGCTCAGCTGAACTGGGACGGATTTACTCACACGTCTTGGGGGCAGGGGGCAGGTGGGCTGGATGATTCAAGGCAGCCTCTCTCTCAGCTGGGTCTTTGCAGGTCCTGGGCCAGGGTTTGGGCACAAGGAGGCAGGAGTAACAAGCAATTTTCAACTTTTCTCTTGCATCACCTTTGCTAATGTCTCATTTCCAAAACAAGTCACTCGTCCAAGCCCAGCCTCAGTGTGAGGGTTACCCAGGAGGGTGGGTACAGGAAGGCATGAGAAACGCAGGGGCTGAAGTCTACCCCACGGAGGAATAAGAGACAAAAGGCAACTAATTATAAAAATAAATAGAAGGTTACTGAGACTGAGTGGGGCAGGTGCCACAGGCCCCGACTTCAGGAGGAAAGAGTACCGAGCAAGCCACCTAGACCCCAGCTCCCTTGGAGTGAGTGAGTGGAGAAAGTCTATCAGAGCCTAAAGTCAGAGATGCTCCCTGCCCCAGTCCTCCACAGCATCTAAAATTGGAGACTGTGCTCAAACAGGTCTGGAAAAAGTCACAGGAGGACAGGGAACTGGGTCCAGTCCAGGATCCCATGCTGCTCCCGCAAGCGCAGGGCCGAAGCGGCGGGGGCCTCCGGGCTGTCAGCAGGGGCGGCCCTGGATCTGGGGGCGAGCTGAGCCACCGGAGAGTCCAAGGGACCCAGCCTCCCCTCCAGACCAGACCCGCTCCTCGCTGCAGGGCTGCCCTTGCCCTGCTGCCTGCAGCTCGCCTGAGGCAGGGGGATACTCGGGGGCACCCAGGCTCTCGCTCATCGCCCAGCCTCGGCCCCTCCACCGCTGGCGGGTGGCCTCGGGGTCTGATTCTCCCTCACTCCAGGTCCCGGCGCTGGTGGGTGGGCAAGTGTCCCTACGCCGCCTACTCCTTGGCCTCTACCTCCTGATCCCGTTTGTGTTAGCAGATGGGCAGCCCCCACAATCCCTGGCAGAGGTAAGACTTCTCTCGGCAACTGTCTGCGGCCCCAAATACCACCAGCCAATCCTCAACAGACCCCCAGCCAATCCCAAACAGATCACAGCCAGCCCACAACGGCTCTCAACGACCCTGGATTCCGGTCTTAACTTACTCCCTTGGTGGGGTGCTGGGTGGGCTCCCTGGAGGCAGCAGTGTTTAGGGGGGCTGGAAGCTGACATGTGAAGAGGGTCTGCAGGGTGCTGTAGGCTGAGGATAAAGATGATCCTGGAGAGGAGCCCGGAGAAGGTGCAGCAGGCACTGGCAGACAGAACCAGAGTGCGCGCTCAAAAACACGTTTCCACAGGGAAGAGGTGTTTCCATAGCCGCCTCAATCCCGGGAACACACAGTGGAGCTGAGGCTTTGCTTCCTGTTTGCCTCCTTTGTTGGGTCCCTCCCGCGGTGCTCGTCTGAGAGGCAGGGTGAGTGCGGAGGCAGAGACGACGTGTCTAGCCCTACGGGTGGCGGCTGGGGTACCGATAAAGCCCACATGCAAGGTAGGAAGGTTGGAGTCTGGATGAGACTGAAGGCAATGACTTCCTCTCCGCCCTTTACCTGACGCCCAAGGCCAAGGGCAAGGACTCAGACCTCAGGCAAGTGCACTGCTGGGCTGGGAGCAGAGCTGGAGCCCTGGGGTTTGGTGAAGACAGGGTCAAGCTGGAGCCTCCCAAGCCTACTGTGCCCCGGCGGACGGGAGGGTCACTCTGGGGGTAACCACAGCAGGCCAGGTGCTGGTGGTCTCCCCCAACCTCTTCCATCTGCCCTGTGCCCCCTTGTGAGCCCTCCCCCATCTCACTTCTTTAGGCCTCTCCTCCCTCCCCCATGCCCCTATTTCTCATGTGTGACACTCTAGCTTGTTCCCACCCCACCCGAGGACATCTCCTTCTGGTTCTGGCGGGGAAATAAACATGCAGGCTTTTGCCACCAATATCAGAATTGCATTTTGCCTCAAAAGAGCACAGTATGGGCAGTTCTGGAAAATGTCAGATGTCCTCGTCATCTCCAGGGAGGAGGTTTACAAGACCCGGAACCTGGCAGAAAGCCCAGAGTGTGGCCAAGAGGCAAGCAGGTAATTGGGGACAGTGAAGGGTGAGAGGTGGATGATGGCTCAGAGGGGGCGCCCGTACTTCCAGTAAGGGTGCTCTTCAACGTGGTGGGAAGGCCCAGCCACAGGAGAGACTGGAGGCTCAGGAGCTGGCCCAAGGGCAGCAGGTGGTGGCAGGGATTACGGAGAACGATGTTCTCTCAGGTCCAGCCAGGCCGGCTGCCTCATGGAAGAGCTGGTGCTGGAGCGTGCGGACCGTCCCCGGGACTGGGAGAGGCCGCTTCCACTCACCCACGCTGCGTGCGCTGGGCCCGGGTCTGTGACTCAGGCAGAAGGAAGCCGGAGCGCTGGAGGGCGGATCTGTCTCCCGGGAGGGCTGGAGCTATTTTTGCTTGACTTTGCCCTCTTCTCTGCTGCAGACGGAGTCCAGCCAAGAGAGAAAACTGAGAAAACAGGTGTATCTTCCAGTTCTCCACTATATATGTATCCCCCCGCCCCCTGCAAAATAATACCATGTAAATTGTTCTCTGATTTCTTTCTTTCCCCTGAGGTCACAGAGCTCCCACTCTTGTGATGCCTAAATATGCCCCTCTGATTCATGAGTTGTTTCGTTTTCTTGTTTGTTATTTAAAAACTTTTTTTAAACATTTTTTACTGATTTATAATCATCTTACAATGTTGTGTCAAATTCCAGTGTTCAGCACAATTTTTCAGTCATACATGGACATATACACACTCATTGTCACGTTATTTTCTCTGTGAGCTACCATAAGATCTTGTGTATATTTCCCTGTGCTATACAGTATAATCTTGTTTATCTATTCTACATTTTTGAAATCCCGTCTATCCCTTCCCACTCTCCGCCCCCTTGGCAACCACAAGTTTGTATTCTATGTCTGAGTCTATGTCTGTTTTGTATTTACGCTTTGTTTTATTTGTTTGTTTTGTTTCTGTTTTTGTTTTTTAGATTCCACATATGAGCAATCTCATATGGTATTTTTCTTTCTCTTTCTGGCTTACTTCACTTAGAATGACATTCTCCAGGGCCATCCATGTTGCTGCAAATGGCGTTGTCAGTTTTTATGGCTGAGTAGTATTCCATTGTATAAATATACCACATCTTCTTTATCTAGTCACCTGTTGATGGACATTTAGGCTGTTTCCATGTTTTGGTTATTATAAATAGTGCTGCTAAGAACATTGGGGTGCTGGTGTCATCCTGAA